TGATGGGGTGAGAAATCAAATCATAGGATGCCAATAATTTTCTGGGGTCCTGATCCTGTAGTTCTTTGTTTTTCAGCACCTGAGGGGTCCTGTGGGAGCCCAGGCAGAGCACTGCTGGGAGGGAGGCGGGGGGGTGGTAAATCACTGTCAGCACAGTGGTGCAAAGTTTGAGGAGGATCTTTGATTTGGGTGTTCTAGTAAAGAGCATCTCTAGCATTCAGTAGGGAAACCTGGTTATAACTTGGTCTCTGCCTGCCCTGGAGCAGCCTGTTGTTTTCTGAACTGATGTTTGTCAGGTAGGAGGAGGAGGTGGGGTTTTGCAAGGGGCAAGAGAGCATCCTGGATCAAAGTATTTGGTTTTTCAAGGTAAAGCTGCATTGAATTGGGGAGAAGCAAGTCGGCAACAGTGAAGAATAATTTGAGCATTTTATCACTCTGCTAACCCCAGCTGTAAAATTTACCATAGGAAAGCTAATAAAATGGGAGCCACACAAGCAAACAGAGGGCATGGAATTATCAGCAAACATTTATTTTGGCTCTGGAGGACCCACTCTCCTGATCAAAGCAGTTGGAGTTTGAACCTCTTAAGTTGTTCCCTGCTTGGTCTGGGAGTGCCCTGCTCTTGCATTGATGGCATCAGTATCCTCTGTGCAGCTGCGTGGAAGAAGGAAAGTATCAGTAGGGAGAAGGAAAGTATGTGTGAGGCTGCTTTACTGCAGTGTGAGACAACAGTAGCTTATTTTAGCTTTGCCAGCCGCTGCCTGGTTTAGGAAAATAACCTAAGGCTCATTGTATAACTAGATAGTACAGGCATTATCACAGGGCCAACAGGGAATGCTTTACCATCTTGCAGGCTCATGCCTGGCAGACTGAGTAGGTCTGCAATCCTTATCAACAAAATACCCCGCTGGCAGAAATCACCTTGAGCTTCAGGCTGAGCCCTTCAGGAGCCTCTTCTCTGTCTGATCTCTTTGTTCAGGGTTCTCCCCTTCTCCCCCAACTAGAGATGCTTGAATCCCTCTTGGCAATTAGTCTGCTGGCTGAAATTAATTGCTCCTCTCTGATCCTTTCAGGCTTCGTGGTTGGTGTCTGGCAGGGGGGCTCACTTGGTGAATGTGGTTTTCTTGCACAGTCTCGCTTGCTGGAGAAATACTTAAAGAACTTCTGGGAGGAAGTAACATGGGCAAGGAATGCAGTAGTCTCATGGAGAGAGGCAGAGGGAGGAGAAAGTTTTAAGGCCTTGTGAGCGGGATCTTTCTATGCTAACATCTTGCATCTCAGTTTATGTTAAGAGCAGAACAAAGACAGCTTTATTTCTGACTTCCTTTCCATGGTTTCTTTTCTCACCATTTTTGTCCCTTCTGTATTTTCCTATTTTTTTTTTTTTTTTTTTTTTTTTTTTTTTTATATTTTATTGGGGAGATTGTTGTAGACAACAGTGTGCTTGAATTTGGATTCAGTTTAAGGCTGGCTCCTAATGTGTTTACACTAGAGGGGCAAGTGGGGAGCTGAGCTTGAATGTACCTGCTAATACTGTGGCTCTCCTTGCTGGGTCAGGGCAAAGCTGAAGAACCAGAGTACCCCTGCCTTGAAGGAGAGGCCAGACTGAGCAGCAAGGGAAGAGAGCAGACAGCAGCAAGTTAAACCTGTGGGTGTTAGTCTGCACAGAATTGCTTCATAATACATTTTTTTTACAATTCATATTTTTAAATGGCTCTGCATTATCTAGCCAGAGCTCGGTGAGAGTACTGGTTTTTGGGGGCCTCCCTGGAGGTGTGGGTATTGAGGGGAAACGGGAGCAATCTGGAAGGGGGGGCAGAGCCATCCATGCAAGACTTTCCCCTTGCTGTCCCAGGGGAACATATGTGAGTTTGCCCTCGTATCTGCCACAGCCAGCTCTCTTGTGCAGTCTGAGGAAGGTACTGCATCCATCATGTAGGGTCCAGGAAGACTTTCCTGTTCTAGGCTGGTTGAACACTGTAGTGGCTGTACACTACAGAAATGGGTCTCTGCAGTGTACAGCCATGTAACGAGGCTGGGTGGGCGAGAGCTAGATTTGTGGGTGGACCTTCATGATGATCTAGGGATGTGTTAGTGTAAAGGAGTGGTGGGAGATCTGTTCATGTCTGGCATGTCTTAGATTTTGCCTGCTGAGCTACAGAAATCTCTGTGACTAGGCTGTACATGACTTGGTGGAAATGTTATAGTAACTGTTTTATCTCAGCTTTAGCTGATTGAGTGTATTTGTAGCACACTGATCATTGTGTTTGCCTGAGCCCTGTGGGAGCTCCTGGGGACCAGACTCCCATCCCATCTGTCTCACTGAAGCGTTTGTCAGTCCTGGGAAGGTTAGTTCAGAATAATCTGCTAAAGAGACTGGGGTCTATATTCTAGGCAGATTCTTCATCATAGTCTATTGCATGAGAGCTGAGGGTAAAGAAAGCTTCATGCTTTTTGTCCCAGAGGACACTGGGAAGGTAAACTTTATTTTCATTGGTATAGCACCCTTTAAATGTCCTCTTCCCCTTCCTTCTCTTTCTCATGCTGCAGAGCACTATCAAAAGAATAAAATGGAGCCATTCTGGGATTATTTTAGGGCTACAATGGAGAATGTAAAAGATGGTGTATGAGAAATTTAAACAATGGATCTTTATGGAAAGAGTAGCATCTTTCAACATACCAGAAGTAATAGCATAAAGACACTTCCAAGTCAGTCAACCTTGCGAGCAAGGGCTGAGACCCCAGAATCTGACAGTGGAGTTCACTTGTGCCTCATCCCCCTGACTTCAAGGAGAGTCGGTGGAAAACATGCAGATCTTTCTTTTGGCAAAACCCAACAGCATCCTTGCTCAGGCTGCAAATCCCTGGGGGATGTTGGTCTCACCCTTGCACAGCTGAGCTTTGTTCAGAGCCTGGGTGTTGCTGCAGTTCCCTTACTAAACTTTTTGAGGCTATTTCAGAAAGACAACTGCAGTAGCTGCCAAATGTATTTGAATTCTGGTGTGACAGTGTGAATACACCACAGACCTTCTGGGACAGCAGGGGATTCATTAGCTGTGCTGGGATCAGTGAAGATGAGCCCTGTTTTTGTTGCTTGACCATGCACAATGGTGTCTGATTAGAAGCAGGAATTCAAGGAAGAAACGGAAGCATTTCTTGGGCTGAAGGGGCAGAGCCCTTTTTAGTTGCGAGAGCGGCTGAGGCCTTGAGCTAAGCCCTGAATGATTTTTATACAACAAAGCTTTATGGCTCTGTAGTAGGGCAAATATACCTTTCTCCAGATATGGAGAAAACTCCAGTTTAAACCTTCGAGTGTGGGTTTAAGATTTAGTCTTGGTTCTTCAGCTTAATTCCAAGAGAAAAAGGGCCAGCAAATTTTGTGATAGGAAGCCAAATGTTATTCTGCTGGTGATGAGAGTGAAGCTCTGCAATGTCTGTGTGTGGGCTGGGCAGTGAAAGGTCAGTGATGGAAGATCTTGAGGGCTGGAATTCTGATGATTCAGAGATTAAATTCCCACTTTTTGGGCAGCTGAGACCCCCAGCTACAGATGCTCTAGGACGGTCCCTGCACCATGTGGAGGTGAAGGCTGGCTTGTTTGCTGTGGTGGGCCTGGGAGCCCCTCCAGCATGACCCACGGTATAAGGAGTCTGGTCAAATTTGGCTAAGAGGATCTTGGCCGTTATGGGATTGCTTTCAAGTAGAAGTGCTTAAACTAGCACTGGGTTTGTTTTTCATCTGGTGAGTCTTTCATCAGATAACAGACCAATAAGCTTGGTGGCAGGAATTTGGATTTTAGTCATGCTTTTGTTGTGTGGTTGCAGTGGAACAGAGCTGAGCAAGTGGACTCTTGTGTGAGTTGCTGAATGCAGTTTTGTTGGCTTTTCCTCAAGGTATGGCTCTTCTGATATCTTATGGGAATCATGGGGAGAGACATGAATCTAAAGAGCTACTGATGTGAAGAGAAAAGACTGAATGTGTGTCTGTACTGTGATTCTGCTTTATTAGTTATGAAGACCTAAAGCATAGCAATGGTGGTGGTTTGGATGAACTGCTTCCAAAACAGCGTCGGCACTTTAGAGTTGAAACCTGATCTGAGGATTGGTGGACAAAGCTATGATGAACCCCGCTGGCCTTTCTTTTATTTTTTTTTCCAAATCGGGATATAATAGAAATGAGCTGAAACCACAGTGTGTCAAACATGCTCTATCCCATTTTCTGGCACTTGCTGATTCGTGTTCAACAGTGGTAAGCCTCCCTAACGCGAGGCCTCAAAGTCTTGCTCACCTTTGGGATGGCAGGTGAGAATTCTGCTGCAAGGTCCTATCCCTTGCTGCTAGCTGTTGGCTGCTCTTCAGCGTTGGTCATCTGTGCAGCAGAGATGCTCTCGCTGCTCAGGAATTTTTGAGCTGCAGCTTGTGGGTGTGTAGGTTGGAGGCCATGTGTTGGATCTCCTGTGTGGTCAGCTGTGAGCCACAGCTGCCCTAACTGTACATGCCAAACCTCTCCAAGACGAGGCATGAAGCCCAATGCTTGCTACCATCCTTCATAAGCCTGTGCTCAGCTTCAGAACCCTCCCATGGCTCCAATTCCTGCCCATACCTTTCCAAATCAGAACTCAACCCTACTCCTGATCCTTTCCTTATGCTTTGAGCCTCCCAAACAGGTCACCACACACCAAGATCCTAATCCCATGTGCTGCCCTATGCTTGGTTATCTACCTACCCATCAGCCATGCCAGCTGCAAAGGCTTCTGGAATGTGAGGGTTTGGGGATGTGCTGCACCTGGGAGTGTAATTTGTGTTTACTTCTCCTGGGGCTTCATGTTCAAAGCAAGAAACAGTCTGTCCTCTGCTAACATAAAATGTGTGTCAAACGTGACTGATATTTCGTACTAAAAAAAAAAAGTAGTGCTCATTGAACTTGTTTCCCTCAATCTTTTTTTTCCTCACTTTAAGCTTTGGATAGATCCTAGAATCATGTGGAAAAATGAGAAAAAATATTCTTTCATTATGAATTTATTGAGAAGCAAGAAGAGCACATATCTTAGGTACAGAATGATTTACATATCACTTAAAAGACATTAAGGAACAAAAAATTCCAGGTAAGGTCCAGAAGGCTTGAGTGGTATGAATCCAGTGACAGGACATGGATCACTGGAAAAAAGGCATATTCATCCTATTTGGCCCTTTTTCTGTGCTTATAACAAAATCTATACTAGTGGAGGCTTCAGACATGCCACAGAGAAGATTGAAAATGTTGAGTCCTGTAACTGCATAATACATGGTACACATGAAAGTCTTCTTTAGTCTGTGTTAGAAATTGATACCTCCATAACTTACTGCAAAAAATGTTTAGGCTCTTGCCTGTTCTGCCTCATCCTATTTGCATCCTAAAATTAGAATGTTGTTATTGGATGCTTTCTACTCGAAGCTGTATATATTAGAAGCAAAAAGTGGGCTACAGTGTGCATTTAGAGATAAAATGGCCACTAGAGGGTCTAGTGACTTCTTGAAAATAGTGAATTTATAAAGAGGAATAGCATCAGAACCACCATGTGGGGATTATTTCCTTCAGAATCACTGTAGCATGGCTTGAATAGCTTTGGTAGTCTGTAGCTTTCACGAAACTGGTTTGTTGCTAGTAATAGTCTAAATAATTTTTCACAGTAAAATCAGCACAAGCGACAATGACGTGATCTTCATTAGTCAGCTTTGCTGAAATCGTGTAATCTCCCTGTATGAGACAAACACAAAGCAAGAGATTAGCTCATCAGTAGTATATAACTGCTGCTGTTTCTGTGAGGGAGTCCTCTTCATAGAAACAGAATAACGCTTTTCCCATGAAGTTCCTCCAAAACCTTTCCTGTCCAAATGTTTCAGAACTGGTAAAGGACTTGCCCATGTTTTCTGCCAAAATACTTTCATCAGGGATATCAATGCTGACAGCACAAGTTCAAAATTAAAACAGTGCAAGGGGAACAAAATGTTTTGATGCATAAAAATTCCTTTCAAATCTGTGTAACTTAAAATGTTTCTTCTGAGCAAGCACAATATGGCCTGTGATGTTTAGTAACTGGAAGGGGAAGAGGTGCTCTGTTGTCTGGCACTTCTCTTCCTTGGATCTTGTTGTTCAGTGTGTACATTTATTGATTTGAATTTTTAGAAGAGCATTTGGGGGGATGTGTGTGTATAGATGACTCAATCTGTGATGAATTCCTATATAATAAAATGAGATAGTTTTAATTTCAAATTGTGTAGTTAAAACTACTAATAATTGAGGCTTTGGGGAGAACTTGTATCATTGCAGTGCAAAACTCTCAACCTTAAAAAAGCCATGGCGCTTTTTTTTTTTTTTTTTTTTTTTTTTTGTATTGGTTAAAACTGTTCTCTTCAGATACTTGAAGGAGAAGCACTGGACAGGGGGAGGTGACAAGGCTCACTTAACAGATTTGGTGGAAGAGGTGAACTAGATTTCATTCACTCTGGATTGCTGGCCCTTCAGTATCTCTCTCCATTTTTTCTGGGTGTGGAGAGGAGCAAAACCTGGGGTAGGAGAACTTGGCAGCAGTGGCCTCCTGGCTTTGAACCACAGAAGGGTCTTGCTCTGCTCAGAATTCTTTTGATTCTGGAGTAGAAGGAGGCACAACTAGAATGAGTCAGGTTTCTTTGCATTTGCCTTTTACAATGGGATTTCTAAAGCAATAGCTGGCCTGTGTCCTCACAGAGAGGTTCAAGTTAAGTGTAACACACAAATTTAGAGAGAGGCCCAATGGCAACATGCTCATGAGAATACAGCCTTGTTGTAATTGCTGTGCAGACTGCGCAAATGTCCTTTGGGCTGCTCAGATGAGGCTATTCTTTGTAATGAGCAGATGATTGCTGCATGGAATAACTCCTTATTGCCAGCATGGAAAGATGATGTTATTTGCCTGATTGATTAATTAACAAAAAAGGCTTCTTATTCCCTTTCTCACAAGCATGTTAATTCTCCAAATCATAGTTTCATTCATGGAAGGGAGTTCATAATAACTCATTTCCATTGCTCATTAGTGTTTTCTTCCTCCAGAATAATTTTTTGCTCATGGGTAAAAATTGTTATTAAAAGAGGGTTGTGAACAGTCTTAGAATTCCTGGCTCCAAATTCACCTAATTTGCCCAGAACTGGAGTTTCACTGGTCTATGTGGATATTTCTAGGTCTTCCTTTAGGTCTAAGGACCTATTCCTCAGTTTGTCTACAGCCTTTACTATGTAAGTGTTCTCAGTATGTTAGCAAAGCTGTTCCTGGAGCAGGATGCTTGGGCACTCCAGTGTGAGACTTCAGAAGGCATTGCTCAACACAGCATCTCTAGGCATAGCCTGTAGGGAAGCAGGCTGGTAAAGGTAGGGTAACAGCCTGCATAAATGGGCTCAGCTCCCTGTGTGAAAGCCTTGGAAAATTAAGGTTGTGGTTGCTGCTATCACCAAGGGAAGACTGAGAGACATGAGATGGCAGCTGTTATGGAGGCTCGATCCTCCCAGAAACCAACTATCCTTGTTATCACCTCTGCAGGTCTTGGCAAGCCCAGCTCTTGGGGACTGTGTCCTTGTTCCGTATCTCTGCTCTGACCCCATCTTCTCCTTTTCCTGCAGCTGGACCAATCCAGTGTTGAGAAGACACCAGGCCTCATCTTTGAGGGTCTGACATAGGTTTTATGTCTGCTGCTGAAGAACTGAGAGCTCATGCTGCACTTCTTTCTGTGAGTATATCTAAGGAGTGTTTGACTCACCACCTGAACTGTGTGCTTTCACAATGGTGACTCTGATCCTTTCTTCACCACATTCTCAACCAGATGCCTTGATCCAGATCTTGCCTTCTCCCCTTCAGTCCAGCCTCTTCACGTATGAGGCTAAAAATTATTTTTTATTTACTGGTCAAATATAGCTTCATGTTGTGCCCAGTTAGACACTGTGATGCATTCAGCATTTGACACCTATCTTGCTCTGCAATGTGATTTGGTTGACCTTCTAGAAGAAGACATAGCTGACTGTGGACAAGGCTGCTTGTAAAGAACAACTGTAATGGATGACCAGGAAATTCAGAGCAGTGCCTAGAGTACTGCCTGCTTTCTCACCTTTCTAAGAAACTATGTTCTTATTTTAAGGCTCCATAAGCCCAGAGAAAGTGTTCTTGGCCCAGTAACTTGTACTTTCAGTTACAACCTAGAAGACTTCCGTGTCTGTATCTAACACCACTTATGTACAGTGGAACACATACAATTGCAATAGTTATTTAAATTGACTTTTATAGACAGTAGGGATGAATGAGCTTCTCCAAATTGTTCAGCCCACTAAGGTGTGATCTGAATTGCAGCCTTGGTCTCTCAGGAGACCCTTTGAGCTATTTCTTGTCTTGCTATTTTAAGAGTACTAGAGAGGGAGACTACTAAAGAACTGTATGTCTTCATAACTCAGTGCTGGTAGAGGGGATCTTCTATCCTAAGAAAACCTGTCTGTCTCTGGATAATGGTGGAGCTCTAATGTTTTAAGCAAAGCCACCTGATTAATATTGAAAAGGATTAGTCATATAAACACTATCAGATCCAGTGTGGCAGCTGGGGGATCTTGGAATATGCTGATATGATTGCTGGTAGTCCTCTGACCATACCTCATCCAGAAAACCCTTCTGCTTGGGAGCACAGCTGTGACCAACTTACCTGTGGGATTTCTTTGATTCCCAGTGTGATTGGTCCCTCATAGTAGAGTTGTTCTGAAAAGCAAAAATGGTGATGGGTGTTTAGACATGCAACTCATGAAGGAAACAAGCAGCTGATTGTAGATGCTTTTTTGGAATAGCACTTCAAATCGCTCCAGTGACAAGTGTTATGGAGCTGCAAAGTGCTCTCTACACAGTCTTGCAACAGCCCTCCTGGGGGAAATGTCAGGATGTGTACTGCCTTATGGGGAAAGCAGGGCAGAGCCTGGCCTCAAGGAGGAGGGGGCCGTGGCTTTGCACAACTGTGTGGGTGTTCCTATGTCTGCACGCATCCTGCAAATGGGGAAATTGCCAGACGTGAATCTTTCAGCATGATCTGTTAAACACCTGCAGCTGCAATAGCTGAACTATACTGTGTTGGTAACTTTAAGAAAAAGCCATCTGAGCTGAGTGTTTCTGTAGGTGTGGACTTCTGACTGCTTGTTGATCATGACCTTAAAGTAATAAGAACATGTCTATCTAACTGCTGAGGGATCGTTCACCAAGAAGTTACATGATGTACTAAAGCCATCACAAGTTGTGTTTGGTGACTGGAATAGAGCCCAGGAGTTCCACCTTCCAATCCTCATCTCCCTAATCGCACGGCATGCTTGCTCTTTGCTGTTGAAGAAAGGGCAACTTTGGCATTAATGGACAGAATTAGCAAGCTGTTCTGCAATTCCTCCTACTTTTTCCTAGCTTACTGGGCCAAACTGTGCAGACTTGACTGAAAATAAAATTTGTAGATGTTTCAGTATTTCAGAATTTCTTGCTCCACAAGTCGTGGAAAAGTCTAAGAACTGTTTAAGGATTCTCTTTTGTAGGTGTTGTGAAATAGTCTTTACTTTGACAGTGACAGAGGAGTGTTTCATCATATTTATATGAGTATGTTCTGGCATCTTGATGCTTGTCACTTCTAGAGAGTTGTTTTAGTCCAGTCTCACTGTGTTGGTTTAAACTGTTTCTTGTGAAAAGTTGGAAAACAGGTTTGTAACATGGTATGGTTCCTCCTGCCATGTAGCAGATATCTGACTTGGAAAAGAGTCCACAGTAGGTGTTTCCCATACATGCTATGAAATGTTTATCAATGCCTTGTAACAAACTTATATGAAAGAATCATGACTATAAGATAAACTAGGAAAAGAATAGGACAAGCCTGAAACATCACCAATGTTTTACACCTTTACATTAATGAGGAATTTGTTAAATGTAATGCTCTGATGATCCTGGGAGTTGGAGAAGATGCAGAACTTTTCAGTGTTGGCCTGAAAAACCCAATACCAGAGAATAGAATACGTATGTTTTGGCTTGTTACTCTCAAGCTGATCAACTGTGCTGCAGTGCTCATACTATACTTGTACATCTCTGCATCCCTGACTACTTCATCTGGACACCAAGAGGTCTTTTCCTTTTCAAAGAGCAGTTGGCATTGCTGCTTGCTTCTGTGCATGAAGCATGAGCCCTTGAGTCTGACACATCTCTGCTGCAGAGAGCGGTGACTCAAGAATTTTAAAAATACAGTGCAGCCCACTTCTCAGTTCACAACTTTACTGGAGTCTAAATGGGAGTTAAAGGCAGCTGCAGACTGCATGACTTGAGGAGCAACTCCCTTGGGACTTGAGCTGTAGGTGTGTTGTTGTGTGCTAAGCAATGTTGTGAGCTGCCCTCCCAGGGTGGTGTGGGCCATGGTGTGGCTCATGGTTTGTGTGTCCCTTCGTTCAGTAGAGAGCCTTGTTGGTCTGTCTTTCCTTCAGTCAACTCTGAGCCTAGCAAATCTTGGATGGCAGCAGAGTGGAGAGGAAACTGGGCTATGAACAATCACCCTTCCCCAAATTCCTTCTCCACAGGGTCGTAGAAACTCCTCTTGGATCATGTGGCTTGTTAGGGTCTCACCTAGGCAGTTGGAAACACATCCAGAACCTAAACACACAGATGCAGAATTCAAGCTCTGCAAATCCTGTATTTTAAAATGAAGTAGGAGTCATCGGGCCATAAATTTGCTTCTGAAATTATGGCAATGCTAATCTCTCCTTCAGTGTAGGTAGAAGCTATTTTTTTCTCCTGACTTTGATGTGACAAAATAATGATTATATCAGAGCTAGATGTATGTGGTCTGAGGGCTCTGCCTCAGCCCTCTAGGAGAAGTTTTCCATGAATGCTCTGATGTGTGGTAACTATGCCTTTGCTCAGTAATCAATGGAGTCGCTCTCGTGGGCTGTACTATATTTTAGGGAGCCTCCAACTGCGGATCTAGGTGCTGTGTGTCCAGTTTGAGGTCCATGTTTACTTCTTTATGCTTTAGTGTTGCCCTTATTTATCTCTTTTTAACCAGGGGTTTTGCAGTGGTTCACAGTTATTAATCATATGGAGCTACTGGAGAGAGTCTGGTGAAGGGCCACTGATATGATTAAAGGTCTTGAATATCTCTCCAATAAGGAAAGAGTGAGGGAGCTGAGACTGTTCAGCCTAGAGAACAGAAAGATTAGGGGAGAGCACATCAATATGCACAAATACCTGAAGGGAGAGTGTAAAAAGGACAGAGCCAGGGTTTTTCCAGTGGTGCCCAGTGACAGAACAAGAGACAGTGGGTACAAACTGAAACACAGGAGGGCTTCTGAACACTAGGACAGAATTTTTTTTTTTTTTTTTTTTTTTTTTTTTTTACTGTGAGGGTGACTGAGCACTAGCAGAGATTGCCCAAAGAAGTTGTGGAATCTCCATCCTTGGATATCTTCAAAAACCTCACCTGGTCATGGTCCTGGGCAACTGGCTGTAGGTGGCCCTACCTGAGTAGGTGGGAGTTGGACTAAATGACCTTCAGAGGTCTTTTCACAACCTCAGCCATTCTGTGGCTCTGTAACTAGGCCTCTAGAAAAGTCTTGTGACCTTTCTCATTTCAAGAGTGGGGTGGGGGGGAAAGGACTATGCTGCTGAAAGTATATCATGATAGGAAAGCAAGGGCAGCTTTCATTTTCAGCTAGTTGAGACCTGCCGGAAAATAGTATGGATCCATAGATCTGCTGAATTTCATCATTTGTGTTCACTTCAGACCATGGCAACCTCCTCCGTGCCTATGCTGGCTGGATCTGGCTTTTCAAAGCCCATTTATTATTCCCCTCACATGAGGATATCTGCTATAATTCCTGAAGCGTAAACATCCTCCAAGGCTTTAAGGACTGTAGTTTATCACAGCATCCTTCATATACATTTTTCTCCATATATTCATACATTTTTACATTCCTCCATTGAAGGAGGATGAACACATCTGCTGCAGTAAGTGTAACTGTCACAAACACTGAGCCTAGCTCATTGAAAGAATTCCTTGGTCTTTTTAGAGCAAGTCCAGATGTAGTTGCAACAAATGTATGAACATTCAGAACACCATAAATCACGAGTGCATTTTTCCAATTAAAAATTCCCCTACGTCTTTTTTTGGTCTGCTGGTAAGTTATGGTATCTGTCAAGCATGCTGTCATCAGTGAAGTGCTTTCAGTCCACCTTTCATTTTCAGCCCCTTTTTCTTAAAGACTTAATTGAAGGTGATTTCTGTAGAGCATCCTGGAAAACGTTTCTAATGTACCACTGATTTGCAGTGATTTTATTGTAGCATATTTTCACTGTTGTTTCTAACAAAAGTAACTTAGTTGTTTTCCCTGCCAGTGAGCGGGCCTCTAGTAGCTTCCAGTCTGAAGCAGAGCTTTCAAACGTGTAAGAAAAAACTTCCTGAGGATTACTTCAAGTTACTAGTTATCATTTATCGTGAAGATGCCTCTCATTCCTGACAAAACACCTATAATGAAATTCTCACTCCTCTTTCTCAAATCTTCCTTGCACTGAAAAATCTTGATACGTTCTCACACTCTTGTACTATATAAAGGCCCTGTACATCTGCACCCACCTCTTCCTTTTTCTATGTTTTAAGTCTTTTTAGAACTTAAATGATCCATGTTGGAGTTCTTCTAGGACACGATCTTGCACCCATGCAACTGACACACAACTTCTGTGAGTTTTAGGGATACAGGAGTGATTTGAATAACTGCCAGCTATAGATGTATAGTTGAGTGAGAAAAGCGTATATAAATACATAGCTGGGTGAGCAACATCCACTCTCTTTACTGGGGAGGAAAAAGTGAGATGGAGGGGATAAGCAAGATGGCACTGTGCATCAGCCCCGAAGACCTAGCTTTGTGGTGTAGCTAGTTTCTCAGAAACATGTACCTAAACTCTCAATGTGATACCCAGTTCAATAATTCATGTTATGGCCTCTACTTTTATTCACAAATAGTATTTTAGAAACTTGCTCACTGCAACACCTGTTGAAAATGACAATAATGTAAAGAATGGAGGCCCAAAGGAAGGGGGATTTTCTGTATGGTTTGGGAGTGTGCACGAGAAATCATGCAAGTGCTCTGACAGTGCCTTTATTGGTTGGGCCTGAAAGAAAACTTGAGGTCTTGTGGAGGATGCAACTGTCTTTTGTCAGGAAGTTTCGTTTAAGCCAGCAAGTTGTGGTTCCTACATTGCTAAATATTACTCTGGTAGGTCTTTTTCTCCGATTTTAGTGATTGCATTGGGAAATCTGTTAAATCTTATGTAACCATTTTCTTTGGAGGAAAAGGAGAATAACCAGCACCTTCTACTAAAAAAGAGGAAGATCTGAGTTCATGTTATGCCACGAAGAATTTAGCAGTTCTGTTGTTATTGTTCTTAAACGGGCAGTGGCTCACTTCCTTAAAACCTTTAACAACTTCACAACAGGCACATAGCTCAAAGAAAAAGACCTTTGAATCCTATTTATGAGTCCCAGTGAGCAGTGCCAGATGTGACCTTTGCTTAACATAAATAGTAAATACTATATGATTATGATGAACATGAAACCATCAGCTATACTGAGTCTCCTAAAGTATTTCCAGTCATGGCAAAACTATAGCATTATAGGTGAGCAAAGAAAAATAAAACAACCTCAAACACCCAAGACTTTTCCACATCTGGCTTTTATAAGTCTTTTTTCCTTTTAACTTTTGCTCCAGTTGTCCGCACAAGTGAGTGGACCAACAAAGCCTATATCAGAACTTTGTTCTGTCTCATTTTGGGATAGGGAAGAACAGAAAATTTTTGGCCTCCTTGTGGCCTTCTGTGTGGAACTATATTTAAACTCAAGCCAGGTCTGGCCAGATGTTGGAAATGTTGCTCATAGAACAGGGAAAATAGGGATCTGCATGAAAAGTTTCAGCTGAAAGGGCTATCTGTTCCTCTGTACCTTTGCTAGGCTGCATACTTGGCCATTCACAATGATGTCCTTTCTGCATAGGTATTAGGTCAGATTTACAGCTGTGCTAATATGGTAAATTATGTCTGTGCTGAATTGCCTCAAATTGGTCTTCAGCTCAATTGTGTGTCCTAAAACCTGGGTTAGAATCAAATATCTACTAATTAAGAAACACCACATTTTCAGTTTGAACCTTAGTCTGAGAAAGTTCACCTCTTTCACACTGTGACTTAATTGCTAAATAAAAACAGCTACTGAACAAGAGGGTGAGTATGAAAAAGTGTGTGGCAAAGGTCCTTGTACTAACTTAGGGATGCTTCTAAATGAAGATACATAGTATTATTTAAACAACCAACTATGGTTTTATATCATAATGTACTACAATTAGTAGAAACAATCACCTGTCAGTTTAAGATTAATGAATTTAGAAACCCCAGGAGGTTTTGGCTTTGTGGCTTAATGTGTGAATAGCAGCTTGAGCTCAGCTCATGACTGACTTCTTCGCCTTAATGTATTATCTAAAGGATGTTATTTAGTACTTCATCAGAATCAGATAGTTTTTAGTAGGTCTGTGGATGTTTTTTCCTCCCCTTGTAATTCAATACACAATTGAAGAAACCTCTCAATTTAATTTTTTTTGTCTACCCGGCTTACAGGATTTACATAATTGGTTGCTTGTGCAGGATTTCTCTATTATTCTTTGTGATACTTGTACGGTGTGTGAAATGTCTTAATTTTTCCAGGGGCTGTCTTAGCAGTAGTGCTGTGCATAGTCTTCAAACTCATGGCCCTTGCACATGGATCATTGCAGTGTTTTCAGAATGGAAAGGCAAGTGAATGGAAGGAAAGCAGAGCTTCTGAAACTAACTGGTCCTCTAATGACTCTGAAACTTCTCTTCAGCTCTACCTGTTTATTTTTAAATCAGCTTAAAGGGATGATTGTGATGTAAGAGGGATTTCAAAATAACCATTAGATAATAACCATGGATATTACAGTCCAGAGGCATGACCACAGCTCTTCTGGACATACCATGGCTAGATTTGCACTACCTGGCCTGGGTTGTGGCAGAAGGGACCTTGAGGTGCCCAGGCTCATCTGGGACCAAAGATGCCTGCTTTCCATGGGCAGCTAATGCCACTATAAACCAACTAGTGCAAGTCTGCACAAGTTGGCAGTTTGACTGATGTGAACTAAAATCTGACTGCACATGTTGAGCATAGGCACGTGTTGAGCAGAAACAAGATGTAAACCATAGATAGGATCAAATAGTATCTTGGTCCAAATATCCTTACTCAAGCATAATTTCTTTTAAAGTGAGTTATGAACTGCCTCTAAGGACAGGAAGTGTTACATGCTTAATAGTGAGGAACATGTTCAGAACAGTTTATTTGTTTGCTCAGCCATTTCTTTTAGAGAACTGGCCTTTATTTTTGTCATACTACTTGCTCACATGACAACCATGTGGCTATAAATAGGGCTTATGAACCCCTCTGCTGTTGGATGGGGTCACATTACCACAGTTACTTTTTATGGACTTGAAATCCCATGTACGTGCAATATTCTGTGATTTAAAAGAAAAGCAAGCAAACAGGTTAGGGGAAAAAGCAGTCTCTGAAATTAAAATGTCTCTGTCCTACTGTGTTTCTGTCATCCATTAACATGCTGTTGAAGTAAACAGAACATTACGATGCATTGGTGCATTCAACAGCACAGTGGGTGTATCCTGCTTGGACTATTCAGTAGCCATCAAACACTTAGAGTTCTACCTAAATTACCTCCTTTCTTCTTTCCACAGAAAATAAGCTTAGAATGACCCGGCCCACAAAGTGTCTCCGAGTAGGATAAGATGGTCTTCCCGTTTATGATCAGCTCAACCTTGGTGTACAGTTCCTTGATGCTGTGTCCTACACACAAAGCAGAAGTAGAGCTCAGAAAAAGTGTAAGGGTAAACAGCTTTAATACTTCACTTTTTAAGTTTCCATTTATTTTTTTTTCCCCCTGCTGTTAAAGCTGTTGAATGTTTTCTCTTCACTGGGAACTCATGATACATAGAAATACATGCTTCAGGAACATGTCTCTAAGTCCCTTATGGTATATAATGGGACATAATAACATATATCTTTATTGTTAAAGAAATTACGCCCATGACCATTCTCTGACTCTGAGACCAACTGGCATAACAAATCTTGTGTCTGTACATCTAAACTTTCATTTCTATTGTCCCAGTGGGGCCCTGTGAGTGGTCTGTGGCCTGTGCCTGCTGCCTGGGAAAACGGTAACTGGGCCAAGCCACACCTGTGCCAGGGACCAGTGTAGCAGCTTGGAAGCATTGGGAGGTTGCCTGCTTGTGCCTGGCTTGTTAACATAGGTACAGCCAGTGGGGCTATTGAATTTAGAAGGAGGTCCTGTACTCTGAGCTGTTGGAAAGGTGTTTGCAAAGGCCTGCAATGTGATTTTGCAGTCTTGTTTAACCTTGCAGCCACCTGAAAGCTGATGCTTCCCAGGGAAAAGGGCAGCATGTCTCACGGGAGGGAGATCTTTTGCATGCAAGGAAGCATTCCCAAGTTCTTGGCACACAAACTTATTTTCAGCACCAGGAGCATACAGCAGTGCTCTCATATTTACACTCTGGTTATAGAGGTTCTAGGTGAACTTGGGCCTAACTGGGTTGCAAGAAGATGGCTTTCCTGTGCAAAGATCACAAAGCAAGCTATGGCTAATATCAACTTGTGCACCCAGCCCATTAGCTCAAATGCATTTCTGCTTTTGACCTTTTATTGCTATCAGTCAAGTGCCAAAGGGTATAATTTCATCTAGCACAGGCGGTGAGCTGATTGAATGACTGTTGTCTCAGCATGATTCTCTGCATGCCCAGGAGGGGCAGAGAGATGCCCCCACCTTGCTCTGTGGGAGTCCCTTCAGCCTCCTACCTGCAAGGCTATTTGGTGAGCACTGCTGGTGCTGATACAAGAGTGTGGGTGCTGTAGCTGTCTCATTCAACAAGACTCTGCCCCAAAGACTTAGCTGTTAAGAGAAGCTCTAGAGCATCCCCCACCTTGGCTATCTATACAAATGAAGAGTAGGAGAGGAATAGAGGCTGAGGGCTGATATGACCTGCTTAGGGTGACATAAGTAGTCTGAGGCTGAGCTGACATTTCTGTAGCCCCTCACAGGTTTTGAGATTTCTCAGAAATTCAGCTCATTCATATTTATTGGAGGTTGTCACCCTTGATTACTCCTTAATGCCAGCATTCACACATGGATTACCTGTTTATGGTGTGAGAAAATATCATTTCACTTACTTAGGACCATGGCAGCTCTGATGTTAAAGGTGTGGCTTGTGATATCAGAACAACGGTCAATGCTGAAAGCAAAATCTTGCTGGGGATCTGTTTGGAGACAGAAAGCAGTGGGTAACAAGTTGTATTTTTAAGGAGATACTGTATAGAAGAAAACAATGAAATATACAGGTGTTATAAAAAAACAGATTACACATTTCTTAAAAATTTTCCAAGATGTGCTCAGAGTTCCCATAGTCTGTGTTCAATAGCTACTTCTGTCCTCCCTGCCACTTCAATCAGAAGCACATTCAGATGACAGCCTATATGTGGCTAAAACCTACTGTGTGGGAAAATGAGCCAAGTTCAGGGAGAGCAAGTTCCCCACAGTGGTGGGTAGTCAATACTTATGCAACAGTGAAGTTTTAGCACAGCTGCTTTTCCCAGGCTCTGTGCATTCCCATTCCTTCCTCAGCACTGGGCAATTGGTTATGATGACGTTTGAAAATTAATTTGTATTGCAAGGTGGCTTGGCAAGGCTGATTGGGAAACTGAATCCTGAGGTGGGATAAAAAGTCCAAAAATGAAAATAAAATTGTATAATTGATATCCCGCAGTGTTTCATGCTCCATCCACCATCATGTGATATTTCTAACCCAGGAAATATTCTAAGTTTCTCCCTTTTGGGGAGACTTTAGCAGAGGTGGGGTCAAAGGGAGCCCTACAGCTGACATGAACATGGCTCTTACCAGTTCCTACAGTACCCCTTTCTCTGAAGTAAGTTACAAAACCTCTTGTACAAACATAATTGCTTTCCCCCCACTTCCACCTTCTTCCTTGCTAGCCTCCATGAGACTCTGTGCTATGCCTGAAGGCTTGTCAATGTGTTACACTCTGGTGACAGCCAGCAGCAACAACTAACAGCTCAGCTGCCGCAACCAACAGCACATGCAAGTGCCGTGGCTGGAGGTGAAAGATTTGGCCAGTTCAGAAGCATACAATCTTGAGCCTCAAGGCTTGCTTTAGGCATAAGTTTGTCTTTCACGGTGGTTTTCCAACCAGCCTGTGCATCCAACTTCCTTCTCTGTGATAAACCAGAGAAGTGACTGTGGCATGTGCAGAAGCAGCCGTAGGCTCCCTGGTTTACATAGAGCTGGTGGTGACAAAATATAGACTTGGGAATTGAATTCTGTTTCTAAGTTATTGTTGCTTGAGGTAATCTTCTCACTGAATTGAAAATAACGGGTTGGGAGAAGTTTCCTTTGATGCTGTGGTAAAACTTGAGTCATAAGTGTCCTCTGTGAAACTGAGCTAGCATCTCCATAGCCTGACCCTATTTTTGCAGCCGTGCCCCACAGCTGTAGGAGCTGGCAGGGAGCAAGCCTGGGTGACCAAAGCCTGACTGCTTAGAGGGGAGGGCAAAATGAATGAAAGTGCTGGGAGGAGCTGGGGGCTCTAAGACAGGCTCTACAAGCACATGGATTGTCAGTGTGATTCAAAAGGAGCTTCTGAGCCCTAAGTTCTGGTAAATTAAAAGAACTGATTAAAGGAGAGAGATAAAAGGCACTGGTATTTCCCACAGCAGTGTGTCCCTATGCTGGATTTTGTCCTCCACACCGCCAAAGCAGTCTCTGCACTTGTGTGATGTGCTTGGGACAAACAGTTAGTGCCTGGAGTTGCTTATCAGCTCAAGTGTGACAAGAGTCAATGGGTTGTTTTTTTTTTTTTTTCCTTTTCATATTCCTGTCAGTTCTCACTTTGTTATTGCAACTTCAGAAGCTGTTGCAATCGGGTAGGAGAGCAGTTCTCTGCTCCAGCCAGAAAACATGTCAAGCTTCTCTTTTCTCCAGGACCGTTAAGCCTGCTTCCCCTCTGGTCCCTGCCACCTCTCAGGGCTTGGTTTCCTCTTTCCTCAGGACTTCTGCAAGAGCCCCTCTCGTCTCTGTTTTGTGAGTGGTGCGATGATAAGGTTCAGAAAGCAGCTGCTCAGATTCAGAGCAACTTGGGCATTGATGCCTACAAAGAGTGCTGGTTGTCAAATGAGTAAAATTGTTGGCTCTGTAAAGTCCAGAGGGAGCTATGGTCAAAAATGGAACTGCAAAATATACGATGCTCTTCTCTTTTCAAAGAGACTAGGCTGTGCTTTAGTCAACAAACTGAATCATAGTATTTGGACTAGAAGCTGTATTTAGTTCAAAATTTCTCATCAATAACTGTTTGGATAGAAAGGGGATGTTCATGAAACCAAGCTTGTCTGGAAAGCATGGGCTTCTTACAATGAACCTGACCTCAGGTTTCCTCAGGTTTGTTTTAGTTTGGATGTTTCATGCCTGTTTGGGGTTTTTTGTGTTTGGGGTTTTTTGTGTTTGGGGTTTTTTGTGTTTGGGGTTTTTTGTGTTTGGGTTTTTTTTTTTTTTTTTTTTTTTTCTTCAATGGGTTGAGCTCTTTTGCCAGAAGACCTATTTCATGGTGCATTGTAGCCACGGGTGTCCTCTACTTCACCACTGGTGATGCAGCATAGGATTCTGGTGTATTCAGAGAAGTGTTGTCTGGTCCCCAGAGAGAAAGAGAGTGTAGAAGCATTCATGTGACAAATTCCATCAAAATTTGTGAATTAGAGCACTTGGATTTTGTGTTGGTACTCTGTTGCTGAGAAATGTAAACTTTTTCACTGGCAAAAGAAACTCCAATTAATTTTCTGACCATCTCCCTATTGAAATTTAGGCCATGACTTTGCAATCCAACATCTTGGATATTGTGGTGTGTGTGGGGGCCTCCTGCTGAAATCAATTGAAAGAATGGCTGTGTTGCTAAATCTGTGGTTCCAGGGAGTCTGGATTCTAAAACATGTAGGCAGGAAGGTTGCTGCTAAAAGGAAATTAAAGAAAATAGTGATTTTTAACACTTTGATAAGTGAAGATGTCTGTAAATTCAGCGGTGTGCTATGAACTAAGATAATGTGCCATACCCCTCTTTCTTTAAGTGCTGAGGAGTCCCTCGTGTGGCAAAGGCAACTCGAGGCAATTGCCATTTTTGTGTTTCATCTCAGATGCACAACTGTGAGTCACTGCGTGTCTCTTATGGAGGTTTAATACTTATTCTTCCTTGTTTGCCTCAATCTGAAGTGAGCTGGTTAGACTGAAAAAATACATGTTATGTCTTTCACATGTACAGAGCAATAACATTTACTGTTAAATCTCTAAAATATGTGGGGCTGCCCTTCAGCCTTCCACTTCCCTGCAACATTTCATAGTGCACAGTACCGTGTGTTCCCAGACTTCCCTCCACCCACTCCCTTCAATCTGCTCCCTCTTCCATAATTAAAGCTAGAAACTCTTCAACTGGTTGCAGAGTTTTGCTTTTCCAGTTCAGCTTTGATATATTACCCGCACTTAAAATGTTGCTGGAAATTTTGCAAACACATTGAGGTTTATCAGTGAAAATCTGCTTATTGTGGGGAAAAAAATGCATTTTTTTTTTGTGTTTCTGTGTATCCAGTGAGAAGGGTTTGGGCTGCAACATATTTACAGCTAGCGTGAAGGTTCCTGGGAGCAGGATTTTGACTGAAGTTTCTCTTTAGACAGTTCTAAATTTTTTGGGCAGCTGCTCTGAGAAAGAGGCAAGTCTTTGGCTTTTGTAAACAGTCAGTGCGCTATAAGATCTCTTAGACCTGTTATTTGAATTTATGCTGTAGTTAATGCTGTGCTCTCAACTGTATCTAGCCCTGAATGTACAGATCTCACTGAAGACTGGCTTCTGTAGTACAATCCTGCTTTGTGAGAGGTAAATTTGGGATGTACCTGGCATCATGCCACTGATCACCCCTTACATGGCATAGTGCCAGCTGACCCTGTGCATCCCATCTCCTGTTTCACCCTTACCCAAGTACCTTAGTGGGGATTGATGGCTATATTGGCTTGGTATGTGGCTTTCCTTGCATACGACCTGTAGTGGCACCATACTGCAAGATTTCCACTTGGCTTACTATTGCAAGGTGCTCGCAGCAGTGAATTTGGCTGGGTTTTTCTAGAAGACTGAGTAGACATGCATAGTACAGGCTAGAAGCTCAGATGAGTTCCTGAACTTTTCTTCCTAGAGTTTCTTTTCCTGTTCTTGTTTTTGGCAGAAGGTTCATAGGTAAATTAGCTCAGACATATTTACAGTGCTGTATCTACGTGACCCTCCTGACTGCAAGACTTGTACCTTTGATGGAGGTTATTGCCCCAGTAATAAGGACAACAGAGGGGAACACGCTTTCGTGTCTTGGTTGCTGCAGTTGTGGGGCCACCAGCTCATGCTCCTGCTGAACACGGGTGTGCACCAAGCCGCAGGGCTGTGAGCTGGGGCAGCCCTTACACCCCACAGCCTCCTGTGCTCTGGGAGGTGACCTCCAGCAGGGAGGTGAAGCAGACAGCTTGGAATGACAGCGTGCTAACTTGCTATGGCCATGTCGCTCAGGGCCTGAGCTGCTAGATGACTAACTGGGCAGTACAGAAACTGCATGGCCAGGTGGGAAGCTGGTGTATAACAGCCTGTCTTTTCTTCTCTCTCTCTCCCCCCATCTTGTTAACTATCTTCTACTGGCTTTACTCTCATCTGAACCTGCTCTAAAATCACATTGTTTCCATATAAGCATGAAAATCAGCGGTATGGGTGAATAGGAGCAGCAAGCAGGCAAGCTTTGCTTAGAAAGAGGCCACATCTGTAAGTCTTGCAGTGGTCAGAACACTCTCCAAATTGGTAAGCTTTGGGTGTTTCGAAATAACACTTTTAGGAGCAGATAAGCCACAGAATTGAATGGAATTACATAGCTGCACTTGGCTAGGGTCATACAAGGACAGACTGGTGCTAAAAGAGCTAGAAATTAGCACAAGCAAGAAGCATATTTAGTAATTACCCAACGCACCTCACCTTCAAAGTTCATAATAAAATTAAGTCATTAGTCCTTACAATATTCAAGGTGATGAAAGGAGAGGGAAAGAATGAGGAACTGTTTGAGATCTCAGACTTTATGTATTCACTCAACATTTTCCCTTTAATGTCTATTTAAATAAATTAACCTGAATGCTCAAGGTTATATTTGACACTGGAATCTACTTACAAGGTACTGA